AACTAAAACATGCAGATTCTATTATAGTGTATAGGCAATGACATTGTTTTAAATTCATTCACTTATTTTGCAATATTATTATTTTATGCAGTGGTACAAAGTTCTTTGTGTATACATATATACACAAATATATAGAACTTATATATATACTATATATTTATAGTATTATTCAAATGATATTGCTATCATAATAATGAGCATTACTTTGTTATATCATGTACAGTTCCAATATATTAAAAATATCTTGATTTAAAACAGGAAAGTATACAATAAATATCAGAGTCTGGTAAGAGCCATTATTGTTTGTGGTAACAGTGGCCCTTTACACTCATCTCCCTTTCCTGGGAGGCACAGACTGTTTCTCTGATAGCAATATGGATTAGCCATTTATCATCTATATTTGAGGCACTTCTCATTTTTCACTATATATTGACTTTTTCTATCGATATGCTGCAGCTGAACATGTTTCCTTCCTGTATTCTTCTGCCAAGAAATGAAATGGAATTAGAGGCAAAGGGAATAAGGCAGAGAAGCAAGTAAATGTATGGATTTGCTCACTGCTTTCTGCATGTTAAACCTTTGGACTATACTACTAAGTAACTGAACATTAGGTTTCACTAAACAACACATAGCCATGGGATTATTAGCTTTACAATAAAATTACAAAAGAATATAAATATCTTATCAAAGTGACTGTAATCTGTTTATATATATAAACAACACAAATCAAAGCTAAGAACCAAAGACAACTATTCTGAAATTCTTATGATATCATAAAATACCTTATGCAATTTCCTAAACTTACTTGACTTCTCAAACAATTAAAATTGAAAAACTGTCATTCACTTAGGGTAAAATTGGTTTGTTTCTTTTTAGAATGATTAGTAAAAAACTCAACTGAAGTTACAAAATTGCAGATATTATTCCCATTTTACAGAAAAAGAAATAAAACTAGCAGGATAAATAAAGTACTTCTTTCATTTAAAAATAGTGATTTAAGATTTTCAAGTCTTTGCATAACAACTAATAAAGCTGATGTGACCATTGCACTTTTCCAAATGGCTGAAAAATTAAACCATTCCAAAGAAAGAAACACAAAATTTTCTAGTAGTATTATAATAATTGTCAGTGATGTACTATTCTATAATTACAGGATGGATATAGCTCAGCTTTGTAGGTTGTAAACCCCTTGAGGTGAGAAATGCCTTATTCTCTTTCTCCCAGAGCTTCCACAGTATTTTTCATGTAGCAAGTGCCCAAATAGTGTTGCCAGTTGAATACTTAGGTTCTTACTCATTCAAAATTCTTTAAACTACTAGATCATATTTCTCTTGTAAATCTCAGGCAAAGTTCAAGTTGGAAATATAATTATATTTCAAGTATGTAATATAGCATATATTTAACAAATAAATGGAAAGAAAAGAGTAATTAATTAGATAATTGAGGTCTAAGCCATATACTGTAAGTGCTGGTCAACTGAGGCCAAAGGGATATATTGGGCCTCAATAATCAAAGATAATTTCTTCAGTGGTTCATTTCATTATAAAATGTTAGTTCTAAATACTTAATCTGTTTTTTTTCTTATTGATCCAATTTTTTTTACACCTCATCAAATTTCAATGGGTCCATAGCAGAGTCAATATTGGTTCTGGGTTCAGGATTGCTCTGTTTTTAACATGTGCTTTCATGGAACCATTTAGTGGTATATCTTTAAGTTTTGATACCAAGATGAAAGTCCTGAGTGTCCTGTGTATTACTGTTTATAATAATAATAATAATATTTTTGGTGAACTTTTATTTAAAGAATATGTCAGGAGATTATATGAAAACTTTATTTTTTGCCTTCTTATTTTTTTATGGTTCAGGGCCCCACTGAAGCAAATCCTGTATGTTCAATACTTAAGCATACATTTATTATAACTACTGATACCATAACGAGTTTATATTTTATAAATTAAATAATACGTTGCATTTGAATACCTACTAAAATTAAGTCTTTTTACATTTTATATTTTCATTTTTCTTCAAATAAGCTTATCAATTAAAAATAATATTTATAAATTAGCTAGCAAAAAGCTGAATAAGAAACCATTCTACTTAGTATTCTACCAACACATTAAAAACACACACTTCCCATTCACCCTTGCAAATTTATCCATCTCTCTGTACTTACCAAAGAACACTTATTAGCAACCTGGAAAACACTAAATTAACAAACTGTCCTTGGAATTACCAATATAATTTTTAGCACTTATTAAAATGCCTGATAATTCTAATTACATCTGATATAAATACTGTTAAGAAAGAGAATCCTGTTATGTTAATGTTAGATCAGCTATTCCATCTTCCTCCTGAGTAAACATGTAAAAATGGTTAAACAATAAATTTCTATGGCAACAACTTAAATTCTAGTATATTCTTAGTTACAGCCACAACCACAGAAGCTACTACTTTCTTTAAAGCAATCAAACTAAACAACATCCCTCCTCTTTTCCTCCATTTCCATCTGGCATAAGTAAAATCTCTTTCTTTGATGAATTAAATATGATTTAATTGGAAATAAGATATCTAAACTAATGAACATGGCAGCTACTTATATGAACATTTTACGTAAAAACAATGACAATAAACTAGGCACTTCTAAGTGAAAGTTATGTGCTAAGACAATATGTATTATGTATCCTGCAAACTAAACTAATACATGATACATATTACTTTAAACCAACTAACATATATGGTTATATATATAATTGTGACACAGATACTTTATCAAAATAAAAATTATCTAAATAGTGAATGTTCTTTTACATTAAATCATTGAATACTTTTGCTACATGGATTTTTAAATATATATTAGTGTTTATTAAAATATTTGATAATTCTAATATTTTAGAACCAATAAATAGAAAATTTAATGGTTTGAATTTCTATAATTCACAAATACACATAGCAATTCATCTTTTTTTTTCTTTTATGGTGCCTTTTTATACATTTTTGGAGAACACACTAAAGTTATCTGCTCTAAATGTAGGGCAATTTTCCTTTGCTTTAAGACATATTGGAAATATAAAGGGCTACCTATACCTACTCAATTAAGAAGATACAACCTGATTTTTTGATTTGTTTTAAAGTAACAAATTTTTATAGCTATGTGTATTTTTCAAGGATACTCTTCTTTAAGAGCTTATCCTATTAAATATATATGGCCATTCCATTCAAAGGAGGTTTTATAGGGTGAGGAAGATTGGGTTTAAATATCACTTGGGTTTAAATCTACTGGTTATGATCTGAGTTATCTCTTACTGTCCTTAAGCCTCAATTTTCTCATCAGTATAATGGAAATAACAATATTGTGATAAATTATTCTGTATTTGTGAGGGTTAAATCAAATAATTATGTAAACTAGCACATGACTGACTCACAATAAGTACTTAAAGATGTTAACGCTAATATTTAAAAATCAAGTTTACTCTTTAAATTTTGGCCTCTATTTCGTAATTTATTTTTAATTAGAATGAACAAAAGTTCTTGTCCCAATGAAGACCTTGAAGTTCTAGTTTCCTGACTTAGACTAATCATGTATTAGTTTTAAAAATTACTATCATGCCTCACTAGATATCTTTTCGTATCACTTCCCACCAGAGATGTAGAATGTCTATCATCTTTTCTTTTCCTTTTTCAGGTCATAATATTGTGAGTATATGACTGTTACCCTCCTCCAACTTTTCCATTACAAATAAATCTGTTGATTGCTTACAGGGAACCCAGCTGTACTCTCCTAAAAAAGAATTAAGCCTTTCATAAGAAAATAAATAAATAAATAAACAGCCCATAAAATTTGTCAGAGGATAGTAGAGTACAACTTCATCACTATGAAATGCAGTCCACAAACAAAGGAATCAAGAGAGAAAATGATGAATGACCTTAGGTATAGTCACAGTTTATAATAAAGATTTTATTTAAAAACTGTTAAAATAAATAATACATACTCTAGAACATCACTGTTCTGGGAAATTACTTCTCTTTAGAATATGAGTTCTAGAAGACAAATCTTACTAGTACTACTACTCTGGGAGCTTTCATTAGCTGATTTACAATCATATATATATAATCATATATATATAATTTAAAAAAATCTGTGGTCTGCTGTCTTTTAGTATACTTCTCCAGGGTGGATATGTGGTGGAATGCAGACCCCCATCAATATGTGTAGTTTTGCTTGCTTTTTGTCCCTTAACTGCTGATAAGATAGATCGCTTAGAAATCCCAGAGGGATATGATTGAGGCCAGGTTACACTGGCTCATAAAATTCAAACAGTTCAATGCTTTTCTTGTTAATTACTAGGCCACAACCAGAAATCCGAATGATGGGAGAGAAACACTTCTTTAGGATAATGAATGATTTTCATAAAGATGAGTGCCTTAACAAATTTCAGTATGCAGTTGTTGGGGCGGGGAGGGTGGGTGGGCACTAATTAGTTTTACCGTTTTCAGCAGATGTTGAATTCAAAACGCCAGCAGCATCTCAAATGCCAGTCATTAGGGCTGTCTTTCATCGAAGAGTGCTGACCAATGAAATCTCCACTCTGTTTAATGAGACTGATCTAGGCAGAGTCAATTAAATCAAATCTCTACTAACATCCTTAATATATCTGCAGTGTGTGCAGCAGCAGCAGCAGCAGCAAGGGATTTCCAGTATTAATAAAGGGATTCACTGCCGCATAAGGAGAGGGGGAAGGGGGCGGGGGCGGGGGGTGGGAGGAAGAGTGTGTTGGGGAAGACCTTACTTTACCGACAGGGGAAAGCTGGAAAAAGCCCGGGTGGGGATGGAGGAGGAGGGGAGCTACGTAAAGGATAAAAAGCTAAGTAAAACGATTAAAGAGCCTTGATATAGTTCTAGAAGGGATCCACCCCCAACCGTCCCCCTCCCCCGTCCCTTCCACCGCAAATCCAATTTACCAGTTGCAAACATGAAGCTGGAAAAATGTAAGGACCCAGAGTTGAAAACATTTTCACTTTAATACTGAAAAAATATGCCATTATAAAATCCTCGAATAGAATTAGTAAGTTTCACGTGCTTCCTCGGTTCTTTTTTCCTACTTTATAAGTAAGATTTACACCAGCACAGAATTGCTACCATAAGATCGCAGCCTAAGCACTATAATGACATTAATTGGTCATGCTTAACTGCCTCAAAATCTTTTTTTTTTATAATTACACTGATACTATAATAGAAATCATGGGTACTTATTTTACATTCAGATGAAAGGCATTATTGGATATGTATAGAAAAATATTCCCCCTCAAAAAAAAAAGGTTAAAACATCACCATCAAAATAAAAGAACCCAAAACAACCCCTAAAAACTTCGCTCAACAAAATACATTTTTAACTCATAAAATGGACCGATGATTAGCCATGCAAATGTCTTAAATAAAACCTTTACATTTTTTTTTTCACAGTAAAGTACGTACGCTCTGAACTGCCTACCGATCACAAATAATGGCGAAATGGCACTTTCTGATTATACTGTGTTTTGTTTATAGAAAGTTTGATACGATGGGACTTATCAGGTAAGAGGGTGGGTGCTGTGAACGTGACGCCGTCTCCAGTCGCCGAGGAAGGCAGCGTCCCTGGAGCGCGTGGATTCCATGCGAGCCATGCAGCACTTTTTGTTTTTGTCAGAAGTCAAAGTTACTTATTTATAATACATTCATGCCTTCGTGCAACTGCCCGTCCCTGCATAGCCAACAGGGAGCCATCACGCCCCCCCTCTCACGGGGCTAATCCACAGGGGGAAAAATAGATATCTATCTCTCTATATAGATGTGGGTATACGTATATATGTGTGGGAGCGCAGCAGCCATCCCTGTCCGCCCCAACGCAGAGGGCGAGTTCTCCGAGCAGGGCCCCTGCTGGGTTTTTATCAAAAGGAGCTCGCTTGCAAAGAGCGATTTGGCAGCGCTCTCCCAGCTCGCCACAGTCTGCTCTTTGTTTCCAGGAGGGAGCTAAGGGGTCAAAGCCTCTCAGTGGAGCGAGTTCACAGTTATTTATTTACTTATGTCCATAAAGCCTTGGGGGCGCGCTGGACTTGGGTCTGGGCTCCTCTGGCCCCTGGGATGCCGGCCGGGTGGGGGATTGGTTGGGGGTGGGGGCGCAACGCCTTCTCGCTCCCCTGCTCTACCCGGGCTGGGGTCTTAGTCTGAGAGCGAGTGGGAGCCACAGTCATATACTCTGTGGGCCCCATCTGCGTTGTAAGGCCCATTGTGCCAGTAGGAAGAGTCACAGACTGTCTGTAGGGAATTAATTTCGGACGCCGAGGAGTTGGCGTCCCTTCTCTTAGATCGTTTTCTATTCCTCAGGATAAACACGAGCATGCCCACTACAGTGAAGGCGGAGGTGACAAACACCAGCAGCAGTCCCGGGACCAACACCGAGATGGACACCCTGCTGGTGTCTAGATAGGAGTTGGAGTGCGTCCCGGTCTCCGCCAACCCAGTGCTGTTTTTACTGTGCGAAGTTAACGTGGGCGAGATCCTCGCGTACAGCTGGGGGCAGATCTCGTCATTGGAGAGAAGCATGAAATCCTTCCTAAAGAAGTTCACCGGCGTCTCACACTTGAGGTCGCTCATCAGCACTTCGGAACCCAGGCGTTCTGCCCATTGCTTAAAAGGCACAATGGTGCAGGAGCACTCCCAAGGGTTCCCGTGCAGGTCTATCTGGATGATGGAGGTTAACTGGTCCAGTACCCCTGCCACCGGAAGGTACATGAAGTAATTGTTGTGCAGACTGAGCTTAGAGAGAGAGACCCCAGCGAACACGTCCACGGGTAGGGACCGCAGCAAGTTGTTGTTGAGAATGAGGATCCTTAGTTTGGGCATGGCATGGAAGGTGCCGGGAAGGATGAGCTGGATTGCATTGTACTCCACGTTCAGGTATTCAAGGTTTTGCAGCCCGGCGAATTTCTCCCGGGACAGCGTGTCCAGGTAATTGCTATCCATATAGAGCCACCTGAGGTCCAAAAGGTTCTTAAAAGTGTTGTTCTCTACCGTGGCAATATTATTGTTGCCCAGATCTAACAGAATGAGATTCTTGTAATCCACAAAGTGCGATTTTCGGATGCTGTGTATCTTGTTATCTCGAAGGAAAAGCTCCTGCACGTTGGAGAGCCTGGGCTTCAAATCAGCCAAGCTGCTCACGTTCCGGTTGTTGCAGTTCATCTTTAAACCCGACCCTGGGATGTGGTCGCAGCTGCAGCCTCCAGGGCAAGGCAGGCCGTTGGTTTGGGGTTTGTTTCTGGCGCTGCCGGTCGCGATCGCAGCAGTGGGTCTTATTTTGATCTGCCAGTTGCCTGGGATCTTTGTACCTCCGTTGGGGGCAGACCCTGGGGTGGCATGATCCTCTTGCCCATTGGTCTTGAAAGGAGTTGGCAGGGGGCCAGGAGCGAAGGTCTCTTCTTGGGCAGGGGGCGCCGGGAGACTGGAATCCACTCGGTTTTTCAAAGGACACAAGTCCTGTTCCGTGGTTTCATTGAGGTCTTTACCCTGCAGTCTAGTGGGGGCTTCACAGACAACTCGGCCGATCAGAGCATTTTTGGGAATGTTTTCCAGCCATTCTTTCAGGGAGAGGAGATCACAGGTGCAGTCCCACGGGTTATCCTCCAGCAGGATCTCAGCAATGCCAGGGATTTGCTCCAAGACCTCCTCATAGGGCAGTGTTTTCAGCCTGTTTCCCCGGAGGTCGAGGTGGGTGATGGGCACATACTGGAACACGTTGGCAGGTAGGGTGCTGATGAGATTGTCATTTAAAATGAGTACCTCCAGCTTGTTCAAGTCCTGGAAGGCCCCCGGGTCTATATCCCGTAATAAATTAAAATCGGCCTGGAGGTATTCCAGATCGTCCAGACCCAGAAAAGTCTGCTTTCGGAAAGACTTGATCTTGTTGTTGTTGATGTGCAGCCTTTTCACCAGCTGCAGCCCCAGAAAAGCCCCAGGAACGATTTCATGCAAGCCATTGTTTTCCATGTGCAAACTAACCGCATTATAAAAGTTAGCAAACTCATTAGGGAAAAGTCGAGTGAGGGAATTACCATGCAGAAATAGATGGTAAAACTGGGAAGTCGGAGCGGCGAAACGCTGCAGACTCGTAAAGCCCTTTTTTTCACAGTCTACGTGCAGGTCCCCTTCTATCTCATTGCAGGAACAGATCTTCTCTTTACAAACGTCCCCTGTAACGTTTCCAGCGGCAAAACAAAGAGACGTCTCCAGCAACAGAATCCAAAGCAGCATTTTTAAAGCGAGCAATTCATCCCCGATCTCATCACAAAGTAACAGCGACCATCCTGCTCGCCACAGACACAATTCAAGTTCATTTAGTGCTCCAATGTCCGAACCCAGGGAAGGAGAAGAAAAGGGTTTGGGGGGGTGGGGGTGGATTCCTTCCTCCCTAACCCCCCCGCACTGCAACAACCCAGGCGCCAGTCAATAATTATATCCACAAACTATCCAGGCACGTAGTGCAAGGCAAGCAAAAGAGGAAAAAAGAAAGAAAAAGACAGAAAGAAACAAAAAGAAAGAAAGAAGAAGAAAAAGAAGAAGAAAAAGTAGAAAAAATAATCCCACTCTCCCTCAACCCTTTAAAAATTACCAAAAGAAGTTAAATATATACGTATAAATTAAAAATACACCCTTACGGAATCTGATCTAGTGGTCCTCACTAATCAGGAAGAGAACAATGCTAGTAATTAGAAGCAAGTGCATGTTAGAGAAACAAGCAGAGGGTTTGCAGCGTAGTACGGGCGCACTGCCTGTGCATGGCTGTGCGTCGGACTGACCTTGCCTCTCTGATACAAAGCAGGATTTTCGGCAGCTTCTGTAGCTGAGGCAGCTGATGGAGTTCTTGCTTCGGTTGAAGGATGCCCAGAAGTCCCCCCGAGGTGCTGTCCAGTCCCCCCGGTGCTGAAATCGCGGCCGACCGAAGGACTCACGCTGCCGAGCCAATGGCGCTGGAAAATTTCCGCAATCGCTGCGTTTTGTGGCTGTCCATCCTTTCCCCTTCCTCCCCTTCGGTCCTCTTCAGCCCTTTTTTTCTGGGCTCCGGCTCTCGGTTACTAGCTCTTCTTTTCTTTTTCTCCTCTTTATTCTGCTCTTTCGGAATTACGTGGAGGGGGCGGAGGGCGGGGGGCGAGTTGACTGAGGGAGGGAGAGAGCGCGAGAATGGGGAGGGGGTAGAGGAGAGTTGCTAAGAAGCTCTGCTTGTTCCAGCCTGGTGCACTCTGAAAGATCTGACACCCTCTGCTGATCTGCAGTAGCAAAAATCCATCTGGTGAGGGAATGCTGAAGGAAAAAAAAAAAAAAAAATCAATCCACGTACAGGGCAGGCGCTAAAAATGTGGGCATTAAAGGCTGTCGATCCACATAGACGCTTATTTTAAATGGATTATTTAATTCTTTTTTGCGTGCTGAAAACTTTACCCTTTCCTTTCCTTAATGACCTCACAGCCCCCACTGGCTCCAGCGTTTGGAAAGGAGTGCTTTTAAAACATTTATTTCCCAATGGCTTGAATAAAATTAGTGTCAGGGTGTCAAGCGAACAGCAATTTGAGGTAATTATACTGCACGCCATTTTCATTGGTGCTTTAAATGCATTTCTTCCGTCTCTGCAGTACAATGTTTTATGCTATTTGATGTCTTTGAAACCTCTTTTTTTTGCTATGTTTAAATTGATTATTTGAAACGTATAATCATATCATATTTTTTTAAATTATATACTTGTGTATGAATTTTTTGCTGCATGGATACAATTTAGGCACATACTTTTTTTCTTTTTTAAACTTGGAATAGATTTTAGTCAATTTGGTAGTTGAGAGTTAGGTTTCTCTGATGATATTTCTTGAGTGTTATTTAAGTCTGCAGGCGAAAATACAATGCCTGCTTGCGTCTTTGATTCCAGATCCGAAAGCTTTCACAGAGAACCGGAAAAGGAGGGAGGGAGCAGGAAAAAAATCCCAATACGATTCGTGAGTGCTCTTAAAAACCCACTGGCAGACTGGCACCCGCACCTCTCTCTCTCTCTCTCTCTCTCACTCACTCACTCATACACACAAAGTTTCCGAATCTGAATGGACGATTTTAAAATGCATACAAGTAAATAACCAGTTGCATTTTGAGGGAGAGAGAGAAGGGGGTGGAGAGAGAAAGAGAGAGAGAGAAAAATCGCCGTTCTTTAAGGCCCTGTTCGAACCTTCTCTGCAGGTAGCAGGTAGTTTCTCTTCTCTGGGCCACTGGTGCTAGCTGATCCTGACTAGGGCTTTTCCCAGGGAAAGAATCATCTGGTTCCTCAAACTTAGATGGAGCTTATATAAACCAAGTTCTACAAACACCTGAGAGGGGAGAAATGGTGAGAGAATGTTGCTTGTCAGCTGTTCTGCTAACTTTTCTTGTCAGAGTCAAAATTTTTTCTGTCAATGCATTCTTAGAATTATGCACATTTTAGGGTTTGAATTTACAGGACATGATGATGATGATGATGATGATGATGATGATGATGGCAGCAGCAGTGGTGGTGGTGATGATGCCCTTTCCTCAGTCAAAGCAGAAATATGTTTATATCAGTTTCCATTTCAACTATGTGTTATGCAGTTGGACAGCTGTTAATATGCCTGCTAATAATCTGAGTAAAAGATCCAAAATTCAAGCATGTGTGCATTTTGTAAAGGCTGGAGAGTTAAAGAATTCTGGGAAGGACTGGAGATAGGGAACTTCAGAGAAGTAGATTTTTTTTTTCCTTGGGTCCAGAAGCTAGTTCTTTGGGGGAGGTAGTTTTCAAATATATATACATATAATAATGTCATAAAATCAAATGTATTGTCTTCTGGTGAAATTCAGTAGGGGAGCATGGATGAAGGTTCAGTGTGTGTGTGTGTGTGTTGTGTGTGTGTGTGAGAGAGAGAGAGAGAGTAGAGGCTTTTTTAAACAACATATTACACTTCTAAAACAATTCCTTCTTATTTAATTTAACCCATTACCACATGTAGAAAGAGAAAGCACTTAATCTGAAAGGATCTCACTGAAAAAATGCTATGCAGTAGAGAACTACAGAAGTGCTGAAGGAGTTAAACTGGAAGGAAGGATATTTCTGTATCTTTGTAATAGGACTCAGGTCTGAAACTTCTTGGACCCAGAAAGCACCCTGTGAAAGGAAGGAAGCCTCTTACAGTGTCTGTGATTGATAGGGGTAGGCAAGGCTCTGAAAGAGAGACAGGAAATGCTGTCTGTTTAGGAAGAAACCTATTGATGGTAATCATCTAAAATCATACTTTTTCACTTAATTGGTTACTTGTTTATTCAACTTACTGAATAAATTCTTTATGTGAAGAGACTCAAAGAACATATTTCAGTTGATTTTAAATGAACAGAATTGACGTAGCAAGCAAGTGATATTCATATTTCACCCCTCCCCCACACATTAAATTCTATCTCTATTCTTTGATTGCTTCTTGCCTCTCAAAGTACCAGTCACATTAGCAAATTTACAATCAGGGTTTTCCAACTTAGATACATTACAATGGGGGGGGGGAGTTTACCCTCCTCAAATAGTTTATCTCTGTACTCTAAGAAAAGGCATGTGGCAGTGTCAAATGAGCAATCAAATCAGAAGAAAATATTAAGGTAACATTACCTATGTAAAGATATTCATTACAAAGCTGCAAGCTAACAACACAGACACACACATGCAGTTCTATTGAAAATGCACCCTCATTAATGAGCCAACAAAATTTTTCTTAAAAATATTATTGTCATAATAAATGTACTTCAGAGAAATAAAGCAGTTCAGAAAAGCATTCTCATCCCTCCAAAGGTTAACTCTTCAAGTATAACAGTAAATTTCTTGGTGGGAAAAAAAAATATGGCAATGTGTATGTGATCTAAACATTTCTAATGCCTTAGGGGGACATTTCTTAGGCATGAACTCTTTTTAAAAGGGTTCTACTGTATCTATTTGAGCTCAAGTGAACCACTTCAATTGCTTTGCCTCTCATAACAGATGATCTCAGGAGCCTGAGATAAAGGATACTCCAGATGATGATGAGAATTGATAATATTTGCTCAGGGCTGTAGTTTTGTTTCTGGGCTGTGGCTAGAAGGATTTCAATTGTATTATTAAATGTTGATATTTTCTTATTCTTCCTCAACAGGGTCATCTCTCAAGTGACAAAAGTATATATATCACAAAATCATTATGATTAAAGTAGAGTAATCCATTTATTATCTATTTCCCCAAAGTTGCATCAAAATTCCAGATGTTTCCATGCATATGTGCACTGTATATTTAAGATGGAAGAATAGAATATATAACAAATGTTAAATTTAAGATGTTTTCATTCTTTATAATGCACAATAATTTTAAAAGTATTCAGTTTTGATTCTTAATTTTAAAGAAATACATTTTTATTTAAGAAATACAAAATCATCTATAGGAAGTCCATCTTTATTCTTCACTCATCCCTGCTTTTTATTCCAGAGGGAACTACTGAAAACTTGTGTATAGTGAGTTTAATATCATTATTCTATTTTATAGAGGTGGAAACTGAAACGGAGGAGTATTGAGTAATTTACCAAGATTGAATAATATCAGTTGACTTTGCCAGAGGTAACAAAACTACACCCTCATGAGCTAAACTTTTATTCTCACTCCTAAGTCCTTCTTATTTGCTCTAAATCTGTTACTTCAGGTAAGCTCTCCATGGGTCAGTTTCCTTACTAGTAAATTAATTCACTGAAGTTTGTGGAATTTTTGGTCCCTTCATGCTTTTTTTTCCCGATTCCAAAATCTTTAAAAATAATTTCAGAGAGACTCCAATGTCTCCTGCCTTCTTAGACTTTTAACATTTGGAGTTGGGATATTTTATTAATGTATTTGCATATTCAGTTGAGCTTGAAACCAAGAATAAATGTAATAACCACTGTAGAATAGAATTCATTGGTGCTGAGTTTAATTTGCTACTATCCTTGTCATTTCACAAGATAAAGGAGTTGTTGGAATTATTTCTTCTGTGGTACAAATTATAAACTAAGTGATGAGAACATAAATCAATTATACCTATAAACTATTATGTTTAGAATGTAAGATTTCCCCTTATTTCTCTATAGTTTCTTTTTGTATGATTGTAAATAATTTTCTAGGAGTGGAGTACCAAGTTAATTCTCATTTTACATGACTTCAGAAGGCAAAACCATCATGGAAAAAGTTCCTAGAACTGATTCCCTCACTAATGCTGATTTAAGATTCCACTTCCGGGAGAGCCAAAATGAATTAAGTATTAGTTTGGTGATGCAGGGCTTAGCATAAGTGACTCCGTTTTGGGCCTATTGTTTTGTTTTTAACAGAA